GCTTGATGTTCTGCTCCGAAGGAAAGCCTAGCAAGGAGTTATCGGGGTCGCAGAAAAATGAGCCGAGGACGTATTTGCACAAATCTAAAGTCACAGCTGAAAGGCAACACTCCTTTGACTTCCGGTCAGATCAACTTAGGAAGCCCTTACACTCGCCTCTCCAAAAAAGAGAAAGGTACTTCATCATGAGTAAGAACTGACCAAATCCTTATATATAACTATATCTTAATCTATATATTGTCGATACGAAGAATTTCAGAATTGTGATGAGTCTCTTGAGCTAATATTTTTGTGGAGCTTACTTCCATTTCGAGTGAAAGTGTTGGGTAAAGAGATTCGAAGGTCGGTTCCACCAGAAGACGAAGGCGGATTTCTCTTGGCCAGTTGTCGATTGGCTTTAATGAAAGATTCATGCTGACGCTGTTTCCGAGGCAATCTCCTTCGATTCCGATGGAAAGGTGCTAAGCTTTCTTCTGTCATATGATGAACATCATCAGGGCAAGCTATCATAGTCACAACAAAATTCAAGCTAGCGAGTCAAGATTCCTCGAAACCCAACTTTTCTTTGCCAATATTTTTGTTAATACTTTCATTTTAGATGAAACTACATGACGAGACGACTCGATGGTTCATCTAGCCAGAAAACGACGGCTTTTTCTCGTTGTTCTGCTTCCTTTGGGCTCTAATAGGACATTCTCTTTAATACAGATCATGAGACATCCTACATCGGTTTGAGAGAAACCTGGCTAAGTATATATCCGTCATATGACTGACAGCTCAAGAAATATAACTCATTCTTGCAAAAGCTACGCTCAAGGAAATTTCTATGATAGTTCCAAAATCATGAAAGCTTAGGCTTAACTTTAAAATTTTGCCAGAATGAGTCCTAGTTTTGATGATTTCGTCAAGTGATAAACGAGAGATCAGCCAGATTTCATCTGGAACAAGGAAGGATTCTTCGTGTACCATGTAGGACAATGGGAATTAAGCTTCATCTTTGAGTGAGATCAACAAATCTCTTCATCATGCACCTTCATACGGAATGAAGGTCCCTACAACATTTTATATTTTCATAGAATATATGAAGACCAAGATGTTGTGGCCTCTGTTATGGTCACAGTCTCCTTTCGAATTATAGAAGTGGGTTGAACTCGCTGTCGCAACTTGGTCTGGTTGTCAGGGCGACTATGCAGAAAGCACCTAGTCCGAAGTCGTCTGGCATAGTAGTTTTCATGATTACCAGCATCTGACAGTGGACTTGATACATTCTCAAACGTATCCCCGGCATCCTAGTCGGCATCATCATCCACATTGATAGTAAGAAGTCCCATGTTTCCAGTGAATTTCACAAAGCTTAACTTCCCAACAGCTTTTTTTTTTTTAGAAGGCAAGGCTAGGTGAAATTCAATGGAAACATGAGATCTACGTATACAATTGTGGGACAATTCAATTATCAAGGCAAAGTTATATATCCTATAGCAATCGACAACATTACTTCTTTTTCGTAATTTAGTCGATTGCTTTAACAAATATAACTTTGTTTCATAGGCAATGCCTTATGATCCCTGAAATTCACATCTGTCTTCTGCCCTACTGGCACTCGTGGCAATATGGCGTAGTGGTTAAAGTGTCGAAACTATGCGCTGCACTATCAAGGTTCGAGTCCCGCTGGGGGTGTTGATGAGATCTAGGCAAAGTCGAAACTGCAGTTCACCCCGGATGAGAATAACTTATGTAAATGTACTGTATACTCGAATAATTGTGGAAAAATTGAACTACCAGTCCTTCATCACATCTCATGATCCTATTTCGGTGTCTGGGGAAGCCAATTTATAAATCCCTACACTCGCCTTCGCAAATTAAATGAAGGTTATGCCAGCCGTAGTCTATTTCGGGAGTCTTCGTTATCTACTTTCTCTTCAATTCCCTTTCCAAGTATTTCTTACACAAATAACCAAATGCACACCTTCTATTTGCTCGTTATAAGGACCAAATTTGGCATGTTTACACCTCTTACATATTTCATTCTAGCCTATTTCTGCTCATTTCTGCAGCAAAATAAAAGGCTTTTTGTGTATAAAGAAAAGCTGGGCTTCAAAGAATCCTTTTGTGAATGGGTATCATCCGAATTTCCATTTCAAATAAAAATTTGGCCTGAGGCAACTCGTGAGTTGGTAAATAGCAATTTCCCTGCTCACTGTCCTGTGACCACAATGAAGCCCCATTGACTTCTCTTTGACACAATCCAACAATTTTCTCTTCACGGCAATACACCCTTCTTCGGCTTTCGACACGACAAATTCACGAATTCCTTGCCACCGACTTTTCCTTCGAAACGGAAAGTCAAATCACATCGCAAGAACCTACCAGGCTTGACAGAACAGTGGACAAGTCCGGACGCCAGATGACGGCAGTGGTCGAAGTAGGCGTTGTAATAAGCGATCTGGGCCAAATGCCCCGGCCCCGCCGTCTGCTCGTCCCCGTAGGCCGTCCTCAACAGTGTCGGCAGATTAGCGCGTTTTTGCTGCCAATGCCTCCAGTTCCCATGACGCCGACGCTTCTGCTGCGCCTGGCCAATAGGCCAATAGGCCGAGGCTCGAGTCTCCCGCAGGCCGGTCCGGCCTCGACCGGCCACTGCGGCCGATGGCTGCCTCACCACCAGCTCCAGATCGAGCGCCCGGCCGGCGTAGTGGAACAGTTCCATGATCAGATTCTGTTGCCGGTCGACCGGTCGGGCGAACTTACGACGCTGTACCAACGAGGTGACTGATCGCATCGTCTGTGGCTGTGGCCACAACGCCGGCCACAGCCAGCCCGTTGTCCTGTCCGAGGCATCTTCTTCCTCCTCCGCCGTCGACATCACCTCCTCCGCCTCGCTCTTCCCCTCGGACGTCGCCTCTGCGTCGTCCAACAGAGTCGGGCGACTGGACGCCAGAGAACCGGCGTCCGAACGCCACACCGTCTCGCGCGAGCCGAGACGAGAGTGCGCCTGGCTCGAGTCGCCGCTACCCGATGCAGCGAACTGGACCGTCGAGGTTTGGTCGTGATGACGACCAGAGTAGACAAGGCTCGGCAGTCGGAAGGGCCGGCCACCTTCGCTCCACGGATCCGTGTCCACGGGCTGTACCACTTCCGGTTGCCTTGCCACCCGAGGACTCCGAGTCTCAAAACCCTGGTCGGCACTGTTGCCGGCCGACTCGTCTGGACCAATGTCGTGCGGCCAGACGGTCAAGGGCTCGTCAAATCGCCATGACAACTGTCTAGTCCTACGACCGGTAGAGGGTCGGAGACGCCGTGACGACTGACTGCGTCGCGGCAATCCGGCTGCTGCGGTCCTTGGAAGAGGTGAGGGGAAGGAAGAGGAAGAGTAGGCGGCAGAAGAGAGAGGATGAGGAGAGTTGATCGCCAACATCGTTGCTGTGGAGTACACTGGCGGGTAATTGAGCGAGGCGGACGAGGCTGGAGATGGTTGCGGTGGTTGTGTCCAGGCACGCCGGACGAAGAGACGAACGTCGTGATCGATGAATATTTCGTCAACAAAACTTGCCAAGCGAATTAGTTGCTCCTTGCAGCCCTGATCAGAGTTTGTGATTAGAAGAGGAGGGAACGGAAACTAACTTGTGGTAACCATATTATATTACCAATCCTCACATGTTCAGGTCTATCCTCCTACATGGACCTGCATTGAAAAGAAATTTAAAGTTTAATTATGTCATCCCTACTCCACAAAGGCCTTACCCGATGTATTCTAGGACGTCTTATCATTACCTTGTACATTATGACATGTATTTTTATTCTGAATGAAAAATTGGATGGAAGAAATGTATGAATTGGCCTCACTTGAAACGGAAGAAGGATTGGCTGAGAGTGAAGACTGTTGGATTGCTTCGCTCAATCCAACAATCTTCGCTCCGTGACTTTCATCATTCGGTCTGTGGTGAGACCAATTCCATAATTCATTCGAACTGAATTATCATGTATCAACAGAGCACAAATGTGCTTCATATCCATTCATCGTCATAAGTGCAAGCTCAACCGCAGCCAATAACACTTGACTCAGTAAATTGAATATGGCTGTTCGAGTCATAGTGCGACTTGACTTTTCATGCAGAAGGAATTCGTGAATTGGTCTTACCGGAAGCCGAAGGAGGATTGCTGCCGAGTAAAGACTGTTGATCTGTACGACCCCAATGAACCTGGCGAACCGAGAACTCTTTTGCACAATCCAACAGCATGTACTCATTTCTTCCTATCACTCCTTCCTCCAGATGAAAAGTTAGATCACACCAAATCACTAAAGGTGGAGCCCATATCTACCCTACTCATAAGCATGATAACCAGCTCTGATGAATCCCGTTGTATGAAAGACAAAAGGTGAATTTTCTTTCACTGGAATCGAGGGAGACTGCCTCTGGTACAGTCTCAACTAGAATGTTCCAGTCAAGCCAAAACGACAACTTTTCAAAAGGAATCCACCGTCATCTTCCGGTGTAACCGTTCTTTAAACATCTTCATCCTAGAAACTCATCCGCTCTCTATTTAACCTAATTATTTTCATTGGCATATTTTCCTTCCTAATCAGTCTCTTATGCTTATTGAAGGAGCTTGCTACTGGCTGCTTAGATTTCAAAACATCTCAACGGCTTTCTGCATTCTGAGGCTCTTAGTTCTATCATTATCTTCCTAACATCAGTATCTGTAGGATGAGCCAATTTTCCGCTTTATTTACATACAGTTAGCCGCATACACTTCAGGCCCTGACCAGGGTAAAACCCGACCGAATGTGTAATGCCTTCAAGATATGGTGGAGTATGCTTGTAAACAATGAGCAGATCTAAAAAAAGAGTTGTGATGAAAGACTGGCTGCAAGATGAATTTTGCCGCAACAATGCAGGTAGGCCTCAAAGTGTCATTAAACATAACTCCAAAAAATTGTTCTCCAGGTTGGACTGTAG